AATTATAACCTAGCTAGGCCACTAAATATTTGAACCTATGAACATATTTTTAAAAAACACTCAAAAGGGCAGCCTGGGTGGCTCAGCAGTTTAGCACCGCCTTCAGCTCAGGGCCTGATCCTGGAGACCTGGAATCGAGTCCCACGTCAGGCTCCCTGAATGGAGCCTGCTTCTCCCTCTGCCTGTGTCTCTGCCTCTCTCTCTGTGTCTCTCATGAATAAATGAATAGAATCTTAAAAAAAAAACACTCAAAAATGTAAGATGTTCATAGTACTCTCAGTTTAAAAAGCATCAAAAGAAAGATGACTAGACTATTTAAAAAAATTATTTACAAACAGAGAAAAAGATCAGGTGAATAAAATAATTCCCTGAAGAAACACAAATGCTTTTCTGTACCAAATATTATTTTATGCTAAATATTACACCAAATACTATACTCAGAATAAAGAAGTAAATTAAGACAAGCATGTTCCCTAAAACTTCATGAAACTAACGATCTATTCAGGAAGATATATATTAAAAATCAGTTATCACATATGTGTAATTACAAATTGCAATAAGCTATTGAGGCAGAAATTGCTAATTATCCTCAGCATTTATTTCCCCCTTCTTACATGGAACCAGAGTCTCCGAATTTTATCTGCCCATGGCCACCTGAAATGGACTACACTTCCCAGCCTTCCTTGCTCCTAGGAGGGGCCACATAACTAAGTTCTGACCAATGGGATCTAATTAGAAGTGGTACATACAACTTCTAGTAAGCATCCTTAAAAATAAAGGACTTGCTTTTTGTTGCTTATCCCCTTTCTTACCAGATGGAGCAGGTATTTTGGACTATAATGTGAAAGCTTCATGCTGAGAGTGGCAGAGCAACAGAACAGGAGGAGCCTGAGTTCCCTAACACTGTGGAACTACTATCTGTATACCTACAGGCCTTTCACATGAGAGAGAAACAAAATTCTACTTTATTAAAGCCATTTTCATTTTTAGTTTTCAGTCATTCACAGCTGAACCTAATCATAACTGGCACAGCTATAAAAGAAAAATGAAGGGTTCAATAAGAGATCATAACAGAAACTGTTCCATTTTGACAGGAGAAAGGTCCCCTGAAGAAGTAACATTTATGCTATGACCTGACACACCTGGCCAGGAGAGTACCAGGTGAAGAAAGGTGAGGTGGCAAACTGTTCACGGAAGGGGAAATCAAAGAAGCAACTGCTGTAACTTAAGCGTAAATCATCACAGGAACAGGTAACAAATTTGGAAATGTTAAGACTGATTGTTTATACAGTGAATTAGAATAAAAGCAGAGCAGTAAAGCAAATAGGTGGGTTGGCTCAAATATAATATCTATTCCAACAAGCAAAAATTATGCCAAAATGAGGAGGGAGGGGTGCAGAACGAGAATGAATCCCGTTAAAGAAATTAATAGTTGCTTCCAAACTTCAGTATTACTAGTGTTTAAAATAGATGGATTCTCTGATTAGAGTGGTTCATATACCATGAGAACGTCACTGGATATTTAAATGCTAATTCTCCCTGGAACAGACAAAAGTTTGATGTTAAAAATTTTTGAAATAATGTTTCTTGTCTATTTCTTATTATAAAAGGGAAACAAATTTATTGTAGGGATTAAAGCAAATATGTACATAAGACCTTAAAAAGTAAATCATATGTAAATTCATCCCCTTCCAACATTTCATAATGAAACTGTTTCTATACGTATTTACATGCCCACATACATAGATACATAAGACACACTCAAAAATGGGACTATAATGCATAAAAGCTGCATGTGCTTTTTCAACTGCTTTATCATGAACACATTCCATATCATTAAAATATTTTTAAAACTATGATTTTTAATGGCTCCATAACATATAATTTGTTTAGCCAATCAAATCTGGGGATTCCTGAGTTAAAACTGTCAACCACAAATTAAAGCCCTTTGAGTCAGGAAGCTAACTTCAAAATCTGCAATGGAGAGTTTATTCAAAAATCTCAAGTTACAGTTTGAAAACATTAGAACCGGGCAGCCCCGGTGGCGCAGCGGTTTGGCGCCGCCTGCAGCCTGGGGTGTGATCCTGGAGACCTGGGATCGAGTCCCACATCAGGCTCCCTGCATGGAGCCTGCTTCTCCCTCTGCCTGTGTCTCTGCCTCTCTCTCTCTCTGTGTCTATGAATAAATAAATAAAATCTTTAATAAAAAATAAAATTCAAAAAAAAGAGAAAACATTGGAACCTTCTAACCAAGAATTCAATGAAATTCACTGAGTTTTAGCCATAAAAGATGCTCACTAAAGACTGTATTTTCCCAAATGGAGCATAACATTTCATAGTCTCGAGGAAGAAACTGATTAAGTATCAAAGACTGAGGTAGTAATAAAAAATAAGAACTACTGAGTGCCCACTGTAAGAATTAATGACTATCTACAATGTTTTTTTTAATAAAGCAAAAAAAGAGAATGTATGCATTTATTACTGGTGTAAGTTTTCAAGTAGATATAGAAAAAAGTAACAACAGAAAAGTACACATATATAAAAAGAATAGAAACAAATAACAAAGGATTAGAAGTTGTTAATTGTGGAATATGATATTCTTTGAACTTTGCTATATTTAGCATTTTTCTCACAACCAAAAAAATTAATGTTAAATTAAAATATTTGTCATGTGAGTAAAGTAATTCAGATTTTAGCCATCAAAATAGAAGGAAATCAGTGTTTTGCCAGAGGCTAAGAAAATCTTTTCAGAAAGAAAAACAAAATTCTAGGCATTTAACATTAGTCATTTGTTGTAAAATAAAACTATTTTAAACTGAATATCAATGTTTTATGTTGGAAATAAGCCTGAGGAAGGCCTAGCTTTTGAACTTTACTGCTGAGCTTTCTTCAAGTACTAGACTACCTAAAAATGATATATTTTCTGTTCTATCAAAAAGGTTGTTTTAAGCAGTTAGCAAGTATTTTAAAAATTGCAAGACTGCATTTCAGTTTCTGACTATTCTGTTAACTTTGTACACCTAAGGTTTTCCTGATGCCAAGCCCATTTTTTAATATTCTGGTTTCTTTTTTTTTTTTTAAAGATTTTATTTATTTATTCATGAGACACACACAGAGAGAGAAGCAGAGACACAGACAGAGGGAGAAGCAGGCTCCATGCAGGGAGCTCGATTCAGGACTCGATCCTGGGACTCCAGGATCATGCCCTGAGCCAAAGGCAGACACTTAAGCGCTGAGCCATCCAGGCACCCCAATACTCTGGTTTCTAAAATCCAAACTTAGTTCAGATGACAGAGTTTACCATTTGATGAAATGTCTTACTACTAAACATAAAAGGATGCAATTTTCTATTAAGTGAGGTCCCTAGCAGAAAAAAGAAATTAAAGAATAAAAAATTATAGAAATAAATGAATCTTTACATCAGTTCTCACAAACAAAATTTTCAAATAAATGTAAATTTCTTCAATTGCCCCATTTTCCCCAAATGTAGCTTTAGGTTGTCGTAACTTTGTGACAGCATCCCCCACCCCCTAACTCCACTAATCAGTTCTCACCTTCTTTCCCTGCTGGAACACGTGAATTTTTCAGCAAAAGTGACTCATTCATTGGCATCTTGTCAAACTAACCCTGAAACTATAACGAAGCTTGGCGCTAACACAATTCTAAAGCTAGAATACTTTCACTAACACACATCATTTTGACTTTAGAGAACTGAATCACTTTCAGATCCAAATACATACTAATGAACTCTGTTTATATTTTTCCTTACTAATTGTTCTCCACCATGCTACCTCCTCCCAATTTTAGTTTGGCAATTCCCTAATCTAAAATATCTCCTGTCTCTAGAGAAGACAAGATGGGGAACACAGAAGCAAAAGAACAGGAGCGGGGAGAAAAAAAAAGCAGTTGTTCACTCAGCCTGGAAAAAGATCCTATTCTGAACAATTAGCAACTCGTATCCATTCCATACAATTCTCAAAATTTATTTCTCCCCCTAGTTAAATGAAAACACAATAGAATACACAATACAAACACAATCAGAAATCTCCAGAAACAAATTACTCATTATTATTTCACTAAATAAAAGTTTTTAAAAAGCACACAATAAAAAAAATTTTTAAACCACACGAAAATCAATTATTAAGAACTATTTAGTCAAAAATTTTCAATAAGACGTCACCAGCAGGAACTATCAATTGTAAATCACCTTATGCTTTTGGTTCAAACATTCATCTACGCCAAGATAGAAAGCTGCTCCTTTTAACCAGAGGGAGAGTGGTAGGGAAGGAACAAGAAAACAAATGCTTTGTCAGATTACCATAGACATTTACTTAGAGCTCTGTCAATTGTCACACTCCACCTGGTGGCAGGAGCTGCCTGAATTGGTGAAGTAGCGGTCATTATACAAGAAATTCCAAAGAATACTTTCCAGATGTCTTTGGGGAAAAAGCAAGATGCTTTTCTCTTGCTCTATACAAATAAATCTAACAAGGTTTCACCAAAGTTTTTTCACATAATAGGTCACTATGTAATAAAGAATAACATACAGGTTTGACAGTAATCAGAATGGGAGACCTACATTTACAGCAATTTATTTACAACCAATCTCCACGATAAATTAAATGTCATCTCAAGTCTTTAAAACAGGTTAACAAGACACATCCAGCAACTACAAGATTCTCTATCACATACTCCCACTAACTTTCTTTACCTCTTTCCCCTATGGGTAAACTACAGAGTTTAATTAACACAGTTAACAGCAGCCCGCCACATTGCTTTTAGATATTTGCCAGTAACATATACCCATGGGATACTCTAGACACTGATTTCAACCAAAAATAAAAATAGATAAACAGAGCTCCAACAAAATTAAAACTGAGTCTGGCTGCCCACACTTATTTTCACACATAAGGAAAAATAGCAGTTCTCCTAGAAGCCTCAAGCAGACATATCTTTAGAACACAATGTTAAAAATATGCCCCCCCCCCTTTTGCCCCTACCTGTTTCTCACTCAAAGCTGTGATTTTGGCTTGGAGTTCATGAAGCTGTTTCTTTAAATCAGCATTCTGATTGGAAAGAAAAAATATCTGTGAGAAAGATATTTCATTTGTTAACAGAATAGTAGCAAGAAGACCTTATGCATACTGTATTACAAATGATGAAGCAATCTTAAGCATTTAGCCAATCAAATTTGTCATGCATTAAACTATAGTTATATTATCATCACCTAATACACAGGTCCTAAATGTAGCTCCTACCACTAGAATAGGGGCAGTTCATTTGCAATTGTTTCAAATTACAAGTTTTATATTTTAGCATCTTATATTGTAATAGTATTCCTTCCTATTGAAATATTGTTATTCTTTATAGAAAGTATCAATTGACAGAAAACCTAAAGCTCCACTAATCAGACAAAAGCAAGAAAATGGAAGTTATAATAAGTATACATACACTGCTTAATGGCATTATCAATAAAGATAAGAGTTTTTTCTCCACTTGCCCTCTCCCTTATTTAGTAGAGTACATTTGTTATGTTAGCCTAGATTTGAAAAGCTGTCAGTGCTGCAACTGCCTTAACACTACATCATTCAAATTAACACACTGACTACCAGGGTATTTTCTCAGTTCTAAAATTCTAGGAATCAAAAAAGAATACTATTTTAGATGAGATACACTGAGCGTGCTTGCTTTTTACTCAAGTGGGGAAAAAATCCAAAATTAAAATTTTCAAATGCTTAATGTAGCAGGACAGCCTACTAACAGACTGAGCACCATTCCAATAAAAGACTACTTTTTCTTCATTGTTTCACTTGCATTTCTTTCGATTCACCCTGTTTAGTCTTCTGCCAGGATTGGGACACACATCCTCCCCTTCATGTTTACTCTACATTCTTTCTTATATTTGATATAAAGCTTCCGTAATGAGATCACTCACAAGATTGTCCAACAACCTACTGCCCCTTCAGATTCTTTTGAGTTAAGATGCTCTGTTACATGACTACCAACTCTATCAGAAATGCTAAAATTTTCTAGTAATATTTCAGTTGCTGACAATGTAGGTTACCAAATTAAATATAAGAGTTTACTAATCTAAGGTCTACTGCCTCTTGGTTCCCTAAATATAATTTAAATTTTAATACACTTTAAAAAATAAATAAAAATAGAGAAGTTTCTCAAAGAAACAGGACTGTCAAACAGGAGTTCAATGTGGGCCATCAATGCCAACCCTCAGAATCAATGGACTGTGTTAAAACCCAACAGGTCACTGGGTACTACGTTTTTGGAGAAATGAATATGCTTCCCACTTCCAAAAAATCAATCTGCTTCAGTACCATTCTTTAATCCAAGAATTAATTTTCTTAACTTTACAATGAGGTGTATATGGTATGTTTAACAAAGTTAAATATATATATATATTTCCACATATATAATAAGTCTAAGTGTTCTGTGAACAGATTTGTGGGCACACAGATCTTGAAAGTCTGATAAACACTCTTCAAACTTAGGACCCACTGTCTAATGGCTACAAAAGAGACACCACCTGAACAATAAATGTAATCATCAAAGACAAGATAACTTTTTAGGAAGATTTCTCTTCAGGGATAGAGATGAACCTAAGTCAAAAACTCCTATGAGAATTTAAACAGAAGGTAGCATCTGTTGGATTATTATATATGGTAGTTTTAAACCCTCTTTAAGAGTTCTTTCAAAGATAATTTTTTAAAAGTTCTTTGAAAATTATTCTGAAATTATTTAATCATAGTGGAATTAAGTATTTAAGTGTTCTGTACTGTGTAAGCTAGGAGAAGAATCATTCGGGGCCATATACATTAATTTGGAGACTACAGGAAGCCTCAAAAACTCTGATTCTGGATAAGCAGGCTTACAGAAATGAAATTTAAGCTATATGAAGAGTAATAACTCAATTTGTTCCCCAAAATACTCAAAAAAATTAACATAAAATAACAAACAAAGATGAAATAGTAACTACACTATAACAGAATTACTGGATTTTTCTAAACCTTTATAACATGAAAATCAAAAAAAAATAACATGAAAATCAATATGCTAAACATAATTGCTGTTAGAGATAACAAAGTTTTCAAAACTTAAGTTCCTGGTTTGTATTTTAATATCTAACGGGTATTTTATTTTAAATTATTTTAATTTAAAAATTAAATAAATTAAAGTAGTATTTTACCTGTGGATCCTGCTTCATTTGAGCAACCAGTTTCTGGTAATAAAGAGAGAAAAAGAGCCATCAGTCTTACATATTAATCCACTATGGCTAATCAGACTTGTCCCCCAAAATCTAAAGTTTTAAGTCCACCCTAAAAAAGGAACACCACACAATGAGAAGAGATCAAAAGCTTCTGTGATCCATATAATATATATGGATTACTTATTTGGTCCATATAATATATGTGTATATATATATATATACATATAAATCAAACTAGCACTTTGTGTTTGAAATTAAAAACTCCCGCTTTTTAACAAATCTGGAGATGGGATGGGGATGGGAGCTTTTAAAAAAGCAATTTAAACAAGCTGGATGCTCTAAAAGCCAAATATCCCTCTAAAATGTTATCATCGTTTATAGAGTCCCAAAAGGCCTGGAAAGAAGCTGCTCCCATAACAAAACAGGCCTGTTTGTATACAGCAAAGTACAGATTTGGCAAGTCTGTTGGTTTGGTTCTTACCACAAAAGGAAGCTAGTATCAGCTACTGACTCTGCCACTGCCTTCTCTGCAGGAGGGTGTACTCAGTGGGGCAGTGATGCTTAGTATTTGAAAGTAAGGAAATGAAGAAACAACAACACAAACTCTACCTACCTGGGTTCCTCTGGGAAAGAGAGTGCTACCAGAATACTTAATAAGACCTTTACCAGGGAAAAGAGAAGTCCAAATAAATGAAAAAGAAAGAAAAATGGACATCTTCTAACCTAGCTCAACTTCTAAAAGCATCACTGCCCAAAGATGATAATAACTAGGACAGAAAAATTTGAAGGATAAAAAATATCAGAAGGCTGATTCCTAAAAGCATCTGGGAATAAGCTGTTCCCCAAAAGAATTTTTCATATAACTAAAAAATCTGTCCCTCTTTTTGAATGTTGAAGTACTTTAAAAATTTTTAGTCATAAAATACTTCTTATATACTTACCTGCCTTCTTAAACAAAAAAAAAGTCAGCTTTGATTGATACTCAGAAGTATGATTACATCAATTAATATACTATTCTATAAACAGCACAATAGGTCCTTACAATAAAGGCCCCAAACTGCTATGATTTAAAGAGTTCTCATGTCTGCATTTTAGTTTTTCTTTTTTTTTTTTTTTTTTTTAAAGACTTTATTTATTTGACACAGAGAGAGAGAGCACACACACACAAGCAGGGGAAGCAGGAGACTCTCCTGAGCAGGGAGCCTGATGCAGGGCTCAGATCCCAGAACCCTGGGATCATGACCTGAGCTGAAGGCAGATGCTTAACCAAGTGACCACCCAAGTTCCCTTGCATTTTAATTTTTCAATCTACTTCTTAATGCCAAGGAATCAGCTAGCAAATTTTGTTACTATTATTATGTCTCCTCCAACAGCCCCTGAACCCCAACTCAAATTTGCAGCTTCTGATCTACTGTGTGATATGCACAGTGAACTAATTCTAAGATGAACAAATAGGTTGTAATAGCTTAAGAAATGCCCCTTGAGTAAAATGTACACTCTTTGGTGAAAGATTTCTGATACTTATTGTAGTTGGTCAAGAGTCTTACTTCAGGTGCTTAGATACATTATGCACAGCTGAGGTTGCCAACCATGTAACTTCCATCTACACAAGGTATATATGAACTATATTCTACTTCATATATGACAGTAGTAACTCTTCTGTATCCTGGCCTTAATCTACAAAACAGTAATAAGACATTCCAAGAGCTCAGTGAAACTGAAACGCGACTTTATACATAGACATTCTTACAAGTGCAGCCTAAAGGCTAGCCTCATTCTTCAATGAAAAAAGTCCTTGGTTTTCTTTTTTAATTTAGTAACTAGAGAGTTGGCTACAACACTAAAGTTGCCTTTAAAAATGTATGTATGTATGTATGTATGTATTTGTTTGTTTATTTATTTATTTATTTATTTATTTATTTATTTATTTATTTATTTGGGGTGGGGGAGAGCGAGAGAGTGCGAGCACAAGCACAGGGAAAGGGCAAAGGGTAAGGGAGAAGCAGAGTCCCCACTGAGCAGGGAGCCTGACTCAGGGTTCAATTTAGCGACCGCCAAGATCATGACCTGAGCTGAAGACAGATGTTTAACAAATGGAGCCACCCAGGTGCCTTTTTAAAGCCAAAAGAAAAGGTTTTCTTCCATGATACTGGAACTTAAAAACTGACTGATAACCACATTAAGCCTCCACTCCTGGAGGAAATAAACCACCTTTCCTATATATAAGTAGTCAAGCTGCATTTTAGACAAGCAGAGGCAGAATAGGAGAAGCTGGACAACCTAACTACACCATCCATATCCCTAATGACTTTAAGCTAACACTGTGTTATCAAAATTAAACTACTTTCTTTTGCAAGAATGGAGCCATTTTTTATAAAGATATACTTTATGCCAAATGTTGGCATAAACTATAGCCTATTGGCAAATCCAGCCTACCACCTGTTTTTATAAAGTTTTATTGGGACACAGCCACACCCATTCATTTATATATTATCTCTGGCTGCTTTGTCTACATGGCAGCAATGTACTAGTGACAGAGACCATAAATGACTCACAAAGTGCAAAACATTTTACTATCTGGCTCTTTACAGAAAAAGTTTGCTAACCTCTGCTTTATACTATCCTCTGTTCCATGTAAATACTCCTAAAGTTTAAATATGGCTTCCATCAAATCTGTATAAAAATAATAAAAAAGGCAATTTCTCAAAAAGGGTGAGATACTCATCACAGGCCATTATTATTTAACATTTACTCAACATCAACCATGTGTACATCACAACTTTCTTAGCCATCTCTCTGTCCATAAAGAACAAAAATATACTTCCACCACAGCATACTTTCTTAACACGCGTCTATCCAGCAAGCTCAATTTTAGCCGTAATTCCATCCCTAACAAAATGCAAAAGGGAGGCTTTTGATCCAATACTTAGTCAAATGTACGGCCTGGCTTTGGCCTCAACCTAACAGCCAGTGCCTACTTTGATATCATTTCTGGCATTCCTGAACTTGTCACAATCAATGATCATGAGATTACCACACATCCAACCAGAATAACATCAGATTTATAAACAAGGCTTACCATTTGTATTTACTGTTAATATTTAACATTCTTCCCCAAATAGGAAAGTATTCTAAATGTAATTACAGTGAAAATTCTTACATGTGTTTTATAAGTTGAAATATTATAAATCAACATATAAATGATATTGCACAAATGAAATATGTAATAATCAAGGATGAACATAAAAGCTCTTTATCCTAAAAAAAAATAGTTAAATATATAGGGAAATAAACATAAATATTAAGAGACTGGGATAACTTTCAGAAGAACATTATATCCCTTTTGAGTCAAAAAGAGTAATTTAAAAAATTAAATTAGATTTTAAAACAGAATAAACATTAAATTTTTTCATAATTATAATTTCCATAAAATTGGTATGCTTGAATTAAAAATATAAAGCAAATGAATATTTAAGAATTCTCATTTTTAGGGGTGCTTAGATGGCTCAGTTGGTTAGGTGTCCAACTCTTAATTTTGGCTCAGGTCATGATCTCAGGGTTTTGAGATACAGCCCCATGTTGGGCTCCACACTAGGTGTGTGATTCTCTTTATCTCCCTCTCCTCTTCTACCCCGAATCTACCTTTCTGGAAAAAAAAAAAAAACATTTATCATTTTTAGTAATTTAGTTCAATTTAGGAGATGAGTCTTTCAGTAAGTCTTATTTGGGACTTGTTCATATCTTGTGAGGATGAACTAAAAGCAGAATGTCAATGCTGCCATCTCCAAATTTCTTGAGAGAAGGAATATCTCCTAAAATCACATACAACTTCATTAAATATCTTCGATCCATACAAATTTCAGATGGATTATTGTTTTCCAGAAATTCCTTTTATGATGATGTCAGCTTCGAACAAATTATGAATTTAACTGTTGTCATTTGCCATTCAGCCAAATTAAGTATTCATCACAACTCTAGGTTAAAATACTTACATCTGGGAAAAAGACTGCTTGATTTTATAAACAGATTTTTACTCTCTTCAATTAGTAACAGAAGCAAGGCCAAATAAAATAAAATGTGCATAACTTATTATATACTAAATTTCTTAAAATTACCATAAAACAAAACACTTCACATAGAGAAGTCCACCTGTACACAGCAAACTATAAGACTACTGCTGAGCAAGAGTTTAACAGATCCAAAGCAGAAGCAAGGATTTCTGAATACAGAGATTTGAAAAATTAAAACTATGTGTGTATGTCTTTGAAGCTTTCATGTTAGCTGTCATCCACCCTAATTCTAAGCAACTTGCAAATTTAGTAGTTATCAAAAGCCCACAGGGTGCTTCCAACAATTTCAGAAATTAACCTTAAACTATTCAGATAACACAAGAGAAACTTGTTCCCTTCTCCTTTCACTTCCACACCCCAAACATTCAAAAGCAGTCAATTCATCATCATTTATCACTTTTGATTGTATGTATGTGTTTATTTTGAACCTGGGACCACATTCCGGCTAATGTCTAGGAAAGGGATAGAAACAGTGATACTCTGTTTATGAAATATATGTTAATGATCCAGTTATTTAAGAATAGCTTTATTTCTGGGTTAATTATATTAAATAAGATTTATTATACATATAAAATATATTACATATTTAATATTTCATCGATATTATTATATAAATATAATTGTTAACATATTTTTATTTATATTTTTTAAGGTTTGTTAGCCTATACACCTGAGGTAAATATTAAAAATTGTGAAATTTGGGCAGCCCGGATGGTTCAGCGGTTTAGCGCCACCTTCAGTCCAGGGTGTGATCCTGGAGACCTGGGATCGAGTTCCACGTCAGGCTCCCTGCAAGGAGCCTGCTTCTCCCTCTGCCTGTATCTCTCTCTCTGTCTCTCATGAATAAATAAATAACATCTTAAAAAAAAATTGTGAAATTTTAAATGTAAACATCTGTGAAGGTAGTAACATTTTTCTTTTTTTTAGATTTACTTATTGGAGACAGAGAGAGGACAGGGGGAGGGGCAGAAGGAGAAGGAGAGAGAGAATCCCAAGCATGCTGCCTGCTGAGAGTGAAGAGCCCAATTCGAGGCTACATCTCATGATCCTGAGACCATGACCTGAGAGGAGATCAAGAATCATAGGTTTAACTGACTGAGCCACCAGGCACTCTAGCAGTGATGTTTTCTTTACTAAAGATTAGAATCAAGGCATAAAGCTGAGTTACATGCAAAAACTTCAGTATAAATGGTAGTCAACTAAAACATGGCTCATTACTTAAAATACACAAGTTAGGTCACATGAACCAAGTTTTTCAGATGAACCAAAAAAAGAAAAAAAAGAGTGTGGGTTATTTTTTTTAACACCTTTAGTATTTGAAAAAAAATATTTTCCATTCTTTTCTCTGGAAAGAAAGTCAGGAATATTCTATTAAAGTTCTTAAAAGTACTGTCAGTGAATTTGTTACTTATCAATAAAAGGCAAAAGACATGATTCTTGGACAACTGTCTGAAAGACAATTAAAAAGTGTACTGAAATTCAGAGATAGGCGAGTTTACTAATCTTAGCCATTACTTAATAATACAACATAGGTGAAACCAATAATGGAACATACCTGGTGAACCTGAATTTCCACTTTAAGAGCCTCCTGTAGAGTCTGCAACTCCATCCTCCACCTTCTCCACTTTCTGTCTGCTAATTCTACAGTTTCTTCAGCCTCCGTTTAAAATAACAAACTCCTCTTCTCACTGCAGCTGTGGAGATCATAAAACGTTTTGGATCATAAAGGAAATATTCGTGTTAAATAAAAGAAATTACATTAGTTGAAAATTAGTTGATGCTCTAACACAGAGCATGAAATGTCCCAAACAGATTTATTTCCAAAATGAGTATTTTTCACTGAATTAGTACCAAAATTTTCTGGGTTTTATTCTCTGAACATTCATTCCTCCACAGAACACTTCAAATAAGTAAGAAATGGGAGCAGAAGGGAGGTGTTTAATCTGGTCATGAAAACATCTAAGCACACTTAGATGCTCAGCACTATAGTACATACTACATTCTGAGGATACAGAGCTGAACAAGACCACTTCCTTCCTAAATGAGCTGGGAATCTAGAGGCCGAGACTACAACCATCCAGGACACACTGTCCTTAGAGACACATAACAACAGAGTCATACATTTTTAAACATCACACAGAGTGAACTGGAAAGTTCAGGGTCTCTCAGAGGTTAAAGAAGGCCAGAGTACTTTCATTTGGATGGACTCTTACTCTATTTTAAAAATAAACCTCAAAACAGGAAAATTCTGGTATTATTTAAAGGTTTACATTTAACAAATTAATACTTTATATAGATACAATGCAATGTAACTTTCATAAAGTTACGACAGGAATGTTAAATAATAATCCTATCCTGTATAATAGAGGTGGCAGTCTAGCAATGGAAATCTATCAATTTCCAGCTTGATAATGAACACCATCTTCTTCAAGCCTGCCAGCCCATCTCTTCTGGCTATATGTATAACTGCAAGTGGCAATAATGTCAAAAGTCTAGATTTGTGAATGTGAGCCTTCCTTTGCGAATGCTCTGCTTATCACTAATATTTAAATGAACTCAATGGCTAATTTCTCTTTTAATTTTTTTTTTCTTGAGTGTGGCCTCAGACATGATTTGAGGTACCCTCCCAAAGCAAAAGTTTGCTTTTGCCAAAATAAATCTAAACTTTACTTCTGTTCTTTTTCCTCTTTGTACCTATAAAACTTGCAGCTAGAGCAGCTTTTCAATATTCTTAACAACTGAGGAAGGGAGCAATCATGAATCTAAAAGAACCAGTACTCCTTAAACCAAATGAAATTCATAATCTTTACATTTCCAAAAATTATTTATCCATGGATCAAGTCCATAATCAACCTAAGTTTCTTAAAACGTCTTTAAAACCGTATTTAACAGTTATAATGGAATCATTAACTATAGAATATATTCCTATGAATTTATTTTTCATTATATTTGCTTAATCTCGCTAGACTTAAAACATCACTGGCAATCTCTCCCCTAGGATTTATATACTATGAAATATTATATAAAAATACTCAAAAAACAACAAATTTCAAAAATGTAAAATTCATTCAAAGTTAACATTTATGGAGGTTAGGAAAGGATTACTATATAATGATACTATCAACAAAAAAGGCAGTATGTTTAGGGGAGACAATTTTGAAAAGGAACCATATTTTGATGAACAAACTACAAAAGCAGTTTTTTAGCTACTTATCTCAGAAAATCTATGGACTGTAATAAATATCAGAATCATGAAATTAGCAAGACTAAGGTTTTTGTTGTCACATAAGTTTACTCTATATACAAAAGCAAATGTTAAAACTATAGCATTGCTTTCATTTTTATTTTATTTTATTTTTTAGATTTCATTTTTAAGTAATCCCTATATCCAATGGGCAGTTGGATCTTACAACCCTGAGATCAAGAGCTGCATGCTCCACCAAATGAGCCAGCCAGGCGCTCCTCCCTTAATTTTAAGAACTAAAATAATCCTACTCAAATTTGTAACTTACATATATTAGAGTTATTCCTGAAAACAGTACTTGACTCAGTTGAATTAGTTTTCATTTTTGAAAGATTCTATCAGAAAATATGTCCAAAAATGATTCCTTATAATTTTTGTCAAATTAAGAATCACCTTGAAGTTAAACGAGCATTTTTAACAACAGAAAGGCCATATTTGATTTTACTGGTAGCAACATAGCACATCATAGTTCAACTCAACATATAAACTCTGGAAATGAAGAGCAAGTTAAAAACAGAGAACTTACAATATAGAACTTACAACATATACAACAAAGGGTTAACAATTTATACATTAGAGTGCTCACAAATTAATTTTAAAAATATGAAAAAGCAACTCACAGAAGAATAAGCATGACCAACAAACATGGAAAACATCCATCTTCAATAGTCATAGAACTGTAAATTTTAAGAAGGTAAGTTTGGTCTATCAATCTGACAAAGATTTGTAGAAATAAGAATACTCTGAGAGCTGTCAAAAGTTTGGGGCAGGTGGCACTTTCATAATTTGCTACTGGTTATCTCTGGATGGTAGCAATAAGGATTATTTACTTTCAATTTTTCAGAGTATTGATGTTTTGACATTTTTCCACAGAAAATATGTACTTATTTTTAAATTTAAAAAAATTAACTGAGGATTGCTAAAACCTCAGAAAATTCGATACTGATGAAACAAAATGTTCAGGAAAAGAAAAAGTAAAACCAGAACTTAACCTGGAGGCTCTAAATGTCAAAGAGTGCCTTGCACGATAAGAAGCCTGTAACTCAACTTAATGAGGAGCTGACAGCTTTTATTCCTTCATCAGATTGTTGTCTTATTAGAGACACAGAGAGACACAAAATTTTATTTGGCGATGACTAAATGCCAATTATTCATTTTATTTCAAAATAAAACTGAAGGGTTAAAAAAGTTAGTGACTTGTTATAAAAAAAAAATTATGAAGGATTAGAGGATTCATTTTATATCCTACTTCTTCAAAAAGTTCTCTTTCTGGAGAGCAGTTTTAAGAGATTGATCTCTACCTAAAGGAACACATTATATACATATATTTATAGCTTATAAAAACAAGGCAAGCACATGTTGAATCCTTTTAAGAAATATTTTGGGGGTTTAGACAGCTTATGCAGCTATCATACGATGACTATTTGGGGGCAGTTTACAGCATCATAAAAAAGGTTTTATTTGCTAAATTTGTAGAAGGATGATTTATCATATTTTGACCAATTCCAGTAAGTTATAACTAACAAATCAGTTGCTACAAGGTAAATATAAACAGACTCACGAAGCAATAATGGACACACTTTACAATGTACAATGTAAATGTACAATGCCTTTTACTACCCAACAGCTCTAAATGCTACCATCAGAGAGGACAATGGCCTAGTACAAAATACCAACAACATTTGTTATCTTCAGAACTGTACATGCCAAACTACTAGGACACCTAATGGCTTCTCACCTTCAAATAACATAAAACCAAAAACATGAACAAATAAAAATTCCACAAACCAACAAAACAAAAATAATAATCAAATCCCACTAAAAAAAACAGCTGTGATGTCTGGAAAGCACACTCACTATCCCCCTAAAACAAGAAAAAAACGGATTCCATTTACTTGCTACACAACCACTCTTAGCCTCAGGGTTTTTAATTTGTTTGTTTGCTTATAAATCAGAAAAATGGGAACAGTATCATCTACTCATAAAACTGTTATGAGGTTTAAAAGAGATGAAGTTACACAAAAAGCTCTTTGTAAACTACAAAGTTCTATGTTATTGTTAACATACTTAACTCTTTTATTCATACAAACAAACTTTTTAATAAACTTCTCACCACAGTATATTGCTGAGAAGACTGTAGGCTTTCCTACTTTCAAATTCTCTAAACAAGGGGCTTTTAACTATTTTGGTGAGTAGGTTCTGCTTAGAGATATGTAACCTCCAGGTCTTTCATTATGACTCTAATAATGTAGTAATGCTGTACCTCTGAATTTACTGCTAAGAAACAATGCTCTGTTCCTGAATTGGCATAAACATTTTTTCCCATCAAAACTCAAGTTATCTACCAAGTGTCTTTAACTAACAGTAAGTCCATAAAACACTGTGCCCTCAGACTGAATTCTCTAAAAATGGACAGCTCAGTATTCTCTATACCAAATATTTATTTGGTGTAAGACTCCAGTTGTTGTTTTCTATTAATTAAGTAAACTCCACACCCAATGTGGGGCTTGAACTCATGGCCCTGAGATCCAGTCTCATGCTCTACTGACTGAGCCAGCCAGGTGCTTCAAGACTCCACTTTTGACTTACATGTTATACAGAATACTGTTTAGAGTATGTTCAATAAAAAAAAAAAAAAAATAGAGGGGTGCCTGGCTGGCTCAGTCAATGGAATGTTCAATTCTTGGTCTTGGGGATGTAAGTTCAAGCCCCACAATGGTATAGAGGTTACTTTAAAATTAAAAAAAAAAAAAAAAAGTAGAGAGATGCTCAGCGGTTGAGCATCTGCCTTCGGCTCAGGGCATGACCCCTGGGTCTGGGATCAAGTCCCTTATCAGGCTCCTGTGGGGAGCCTGGTTCTCCCTCTACCTGTGTCTCTGCCTCTCTCTCTCTCTCGTGAATAAAAAAATAAAATCCTTAAAAAAAAAAAAAAGTAGAAAGTCTTGCTAGATCTATGTGTCCTTACTTGTCACATGTCAAGTACTAAAATATCAGGTTTCAATTTGTACAAAAATGCTAAGAGATGTAACAATATCTTTAAATTTTAACTTAACTAGCTATTAAGTGCTAAAAAACAATCACAGATGCTAAAAATAATAAAGCTCTTTAGTAGCGTTTATTGAAAACTAATATTTACTAACATGAATAAAAATGACATTAAAAAATATATAATGTTTGTTTTCATGGTGGTATCTCTTTGGTGACACTCCGCATGTCAACAGAAAATGCTACTGCACAAAGAACTTTTAGCAATCCTGATTTCAGAGGACTACCTTCTGACACTGGGAAGGCTACTATGCTCACATCTTGGTACTAACAGCTGTTGACAAATATCACCCGAGCTAGTGAGACTGATGTTTCTCAACCATTAGATTAGATTTAAACATACACACACACACACAATTAGATTTATGATAATGTCTGAATGTGTTTGAATATAAAATATATATCTCTCCTCTGTGTTTTGTTTTTGGAGGGAGGGGCCAGATCCTTATTTAGAAAAAGAAAAGGAATACCAATAGAAGTTATACCATTGCCACAAAACGTCAAGTCAGGGTCTCCCTGACAGCACCCTCTTCCTTCATGGTCTGCTGCACTGTCTTGCATCTCACCCTACTACCAATGTTCATTCTGATAATGCAGTTTCTACCTCAGCTTCCCAGGACAGGCCTAGCTGACATACACATTTTTCTGTTTCCTACCTGTTTTTACAGAAATCAAGCACGTCTACTAAAATCAGCCTAACTATATCCAACAAGAATATTGAGAGTAAACTTAAAAACTTACAGAAATTCGGAATGGAGTCTGGAGAGTAGTGTATAACGAGCACAGTGACAATGAGAAGATTTTAGAGTTGATTGCCACATTTCCTATAGAATGCTATTTAATGATTAAAAAAAAAAAAAAAACAAAACTGTCCAGATAAGCCTGGGCAGAATCATATAAATATTTACTACACAAAGGATAACACAAGAAGGTGTGGTGGTCTTGGCATAACCAAAATAAGTACTTTAATAGAAGTGGAAGTTATGGGAAGATAGATTTCAGATCAATTTAAGGAAAAACTAAGGATTAGAGCTGTACAAAAAAGGAATGGGTTACCTTATGAGGTAGTGGGCTCCCTGTCATTAGAAGTATTCAAGAATGCTGCATATCATATCCCCCTCTTGGAGATTCACAATGCACATTAGCATATTAAAGGTTCTGAGAAGTCCTGCAGTAAAGAAACCTGTTTAACTTTGTTTAACGCAGCATTTCCCAAATTATTTGACCACAGAACATTTTTCCCACCCCCACCCCACCTCAATAATATTTACTCACTTCTGTGGAACTAGAATTCCTCAGAAAACATTACAGAAAATAATGAGCTACACTTTTTTAAATGTAGTATTCAATATGTACCTGAATAACAATCTGTCTGGGATATAGAAGAAATTGCCATACCGGTTAAAGACTGGAAGAGAAAAAGCCCTTAAGGTCTCTTCTCTAAAATTCTGTGATTCTATCACATCTCAAAGAAAAGGGCTATAGGGTCTTGATTATTTATTTAAAAAGGTTCCATGAGACAGCCAAGTAGAATAAAAAGGTAGTAAAATGCAAGGTTAACTGGTTCAAATGCCTCCCTTTCATGTTCAAAGCCCAATCCCTAAAAGATAAGAGAGACACCTCAAGGACAGTAAATTATCAAAAAGAAGCCCTAACCAAATATCTACTCCAGTCACTAAATTAATTAAAATTTGAGAGAATTTAAAAAACAAAAACAAAAAGAAGTAGCCTTGTATTAGGGAATGATACTATTCCAGCTCTGGTTTCATTTTTTTTTTTTTCATAATACATGCTCTCCAAATAAGGTTAATATTTGTTTGATCCTTAGTCACTAGACTGCCCTGTGCAATCTGTGATCTTGAATTAGACATTCAAAAAAATGATTAAAGTGTGACAATTTATAAGCTGTTAGAGTAGATACTAAAGTAGATAATAGGAAAAAAATATGTTTGCCTATATGCCCCCACACTGCTACATTTCACTGTCTCTCTTATTTTTGCCTCTTTTAGAATTATACAAACACACACTAAAAATGTAATATCAGAAATGAAGCCAATCCAGCATTACATTTAAGGATATAAATGCTTAAGAGTCCCAAATTTCAAAGTCAAGGTTCCCATAGTTACATTAACCTAGCCATTTTGCACATATACTAAGGCCATCAAATTTAACAGCATATTAAGTAATACAAAACACAATAGGAACCTGAACTTTTGAAATTCCTGACTTTAGGATTTTCAGCTCTAACCACTGCATTAAGGACATTTTTGGCAAAGGGGACCTTTACATTTTAACAGGTTATCAAATATAGGAACATGCAAGCCTAGCAGTATTATTAGAAACACAAATGCATTTGAGATACGGTTACGTGAAATTAGACAAAAATTCACTTTTACTCAATGCAAACAGTAAAGCTTCATTTCTGGGAGAAAGTTTTTTTGAAAAAAAAAAAATCACTGAACATTTGAATTATTACCCAACTAGCATCAGGCACACTACGCCTGCCTCATGAAAGTACTTACCAATTTTGGGGAAACAGGCTCTCCTTCAGCTTTCTTGCTCCCTACAGCAGAAGAAGGGGAAAATAGAATTAGACTACAAACACAGATTTATGACATGTCATCAAAAGCTGAAGACTTAAAGATTTCTGACTTTATGAAAAAACAAAACACAAAAATCTCCAAAGCTTTAACCGCCACCCCACCCTCTCAAAAAAGAAAGAGAGGTAGTTTTCACAGCAAGGAAAAAATTCAAAGGCAGTTAAATCTCTAATTTTCCATTTTTCACTATTCCAGTTTTTCCAAGACAAGGAAAGTAAGTAGATGATGGTTTCCCTTTCCTAAGAGACACACAAAAATAAAATGCACCTTATCTAAGTAATACACAAATACAGGCTCATCCCCAACAAATGGGCCTCATTGTTCATTGCTTTATAGTAACGAGGTAACGCCACTGACACTTAGTTCTGTCTATTTAAAGTGTCTTTTTTCAATTAATCTTGAAATGGACTTCTACAAGGCTTTAAAATTCACAGCATTTTATATGTCACTGTAATTTCAATTAAACTTTTCATTCACATTCTTCAAGTCTCACCACTTCAGACTGTAATACATACACAAGGGTGCCTTTCTCTCTGCCACATATTTAATCAGTGATAGAGCCAGAAAGAAAATTAAGATTTTGGGATCTCGATCTAATGCTCAATGATGCTTTTATCAATTGCATTTTTTAAGATTAACTAAACTCCATTAAGTTGACTTCAAAGTTAGAAAAGTCAAGTCAGGCTATACTGGTTTTGTTTTTTGTTTTTGTTTTGTTGTTTTTTTTTTTTTAATTTTATTTTTAAGTAATCTCTACACTCAAAGTGCAGCTGGAACTCATGACTCTGAGATCAAGAGTTTCATGCTCTACTGATGAAGCCAGCCAGACATCCCAATATCGTTTAACTCTGCCTCACCCCAAACTTCTTTTTCAGTTAAACAACATGAGGAAACAAGGCTTTTCTCCTAATATTTTAGTATTAAGTACTTAAACTCTACATTCAATGCTCTAAACTTATGTTTTAAACATAGTATATTTGTTGAGTGATGTTACTTCAGTAGTGTTCTCATTTCAAGGGATTATTTCAAAAAATCATGTCATCCAGATTATAAATTTTTATTTAATCAAGTACAGTCATAACAAACATGCAGTAAAATAATTTAAAAGGGCCTCAATTCATGCAGTTAACATTTCAAAAGAAATTAAATTTGCTATTTTATCCTGTCTTTTCTTTAGCAGCAGTACTTCTGAAAGTTCTCAAGTCCATATAAATGGCTATTTTAGTCACCAAGATTAGAATGACTTCCAACCAAAAGAAAAAAATCATGCAAAGGTCTATAAAGTGATGTGATTATTTAAAAGTGGATCCTCACAAGGAAAAAAATTATAACTGTGTGGTGATGTATGCTTACTGAACCTACTGTGATAATCATTTTGCAATATATGCAGATATTGAATCATGCTGCACACCCAAAACTAATATAATGTCATAGGTCAGTAATATCTCAATTTTTAAAAAGCGAATTCTTAACATTATAGATAGCACCTACAGGATTCTGTACCACTCCGAACAGTATCAGGCACAGACTAAATGTTCAGTAAATATTTGTTAAATGAATGAATGAACTGAGTGGACCCTTAACTCTATTGATGACTTACTTTCCCTATGAGACATTTCTTGTTAGCTTTTTCATGCTGGTGATAATGTCTTTTTTTTTTTTAAAGATTTATTTATTTATGATAGACAGAGAGAGAGAGAGGTAGAGACACACAGGAGGAGGGAGAAGCAGGCTCCATGCCGGGAGCCCGACGCGGGACTCGGGGACTCGATCCCAGGACTCCAGGATCGTGCCCTGGGCCAAAGGCAGGCGCTAAACCACTGAGCCACCCAGGGACCCCTGGTGATAATGTCTTATGCATCAATCCCCCACAGCATTATTTGTTAAACGAATGACTTTGGATAAAAAACAGATCAGAAAGAAAGATACTGCCATTTTAAAATGTAATGAAAAGAAAAAGACTGATATATTGTACTAAATTAAGAACCTCTATTCACCTAAAAAACACCATTGAGAGAATGAAAAAACAAGCCACAGAATTGGAGATGACAATTCCAACACATACAATGGTTTATAACCGTAACATATGAAATATGTTGAAACTCAAAGTGATCGGGACAGAATTGGGATTTTTACTTCCACATATATGGCATCTGACAAAGTGAAGTCACATTAACTCTTCTGAAAAGTCATATTCAGTAAGGAGATACAATGGATGTGTATCTTAACTCTAGGGCATTTTCTCCAAAACTCAATAGCAGAGTTAATCCCCAAATTGATAAAGAATTTTACCATGAAATCATGATATTATAAAACTATTCATAAAACTGCTTGCAGGGACTGTAGATATCACATAGGAAATCAAAGCCTGAGGGGTTAAATTACTTCCCCAAAGGTCACACACCAATTGGCTGTTAAGCTGGAGAAAGCTTACGGACCGGACCCTGAGATTCCTTTGACCAAGCTGGCCTTTCCACTAATCTCACCTCCTCTCAACCAGGCACAGTAGTAACATTTCTAAAAAACAAACTACAATAAATGCTGGCAAAGTATTTTTGGAAAAAGTCCCCATACAAAGTTTTAAAGAAAAATCATTATAAGTAAGCTATATAGGGCAAGTTTTAAAACTTGAGATCCTTTTATGCCTAAGGGAGCCTCATGAATGGACTTCAGAGGGATTTGCCAACCCTACAATACTACTGGCTAAATTCTATATGTATAAGAATTCTGGGAAGAGGACCCATACCTTTAATAAGATTTGCAAAGAAGTTCAGATACCAAAAAAAGAGTCAATTATTTTTAGACTAATGATTTTTAAACACTGTGTGTCACAACTACCAAAGATTATTGATTAATTAGATGATGACTGATTAATTGACTACCATTTGGAAACTGATAAAAAAATATTGTATTTATATAATTTAGTAAGAATTAGCAATAAAATGTATATATAAATGTGTATTTTAACACTATCTACATGTAAAATGTATTTAAGTCTGAAATGCAAGTTTGATTTCTTCATGTTAAGCTGATTAAAGTCCACTTGTTTCTCACATACTCTTCACACTCAGAGCTAAGGTGATTAAAAATTTTAACCATATTTGCTTAAATGTTTCAAATACAGACTTATTCTTTTTTTTTTTTAAGATTTTATTTATCTATTCATGAGAGACACAGAGAGAGAGGTAGAGACACAGGCAGAGGGAGAAGTAGGCTCCCTACAGGGAGCCCAGGTCTCCAAGGATCACAACCTGGGCTGAAGGCGGCGCTAAACTGCTGAGCCACTGACACTGCCCTCCACAGATTTATTCTTAAAAATACACTCAAAACACATATGGTGAACTAAATAAAATTATTTTTGCTTTTAGAAATGAATATTATCTTGCTAACATAATTTCCCATGATTTTTTGCCAACCGAAGATGGTTCACCTCTCCAGAACTTCACAGGTAGTTGCTTTAATTAGAATTGGTAAAGAAATGAATCATTCAGATTTCTAATATGGTTGTAAAATTGAAAAAAACCATCAATAAATCAAAGGTGATTAATAACAACTTAAGTACCCTTTGTAAAATACCTAAAACCTTTGTATATGAAGAACATATATTAAATAATAAACAAATTTTGCAGAGAAAAGGTTTAACATTAGATCATGTTTTAAATTAAGCTAAAATTCATCCCACTACAAATTCGAACAATTAAGTTTATAGTCTGTGCTCAATCATAAATTTTGATAAGGGACTAGAATAGCACAGATAATTGTCATTCAAAGACACTTTAAAATGTCACCTTACACAGAAGATTCAATCTCTTCTCTTCTACTACACCAAGCTGATACACTAATTTGATACACAATAAGTTTTACTGTTTTTTATCTATCCTTCCTAACTTCTAACAGAAAGCATAATAAGTTTGAAATAAATTTAAATGCAAATAACTGTTCAGAAGAAAAAGCAGAATCCTGCTTAATGAGAGTTAGTCCTTTAGGCCCCAATATCATAATCATTCCTGTGTCCCCCATCTGTCTTCTTACCCTCTCATGGACATCCCTCTAGCATTTCTCCCCTCAGTTTCAAGAAGCATCCATTTTCCCCTCATTACTGGATCATTTTGTTTCTGTTTCTTCCATCTTTTTTTTTAAGATTTTACTACACCCAACATGAGGCTCGAACTCACAACCCTAAGATCAAGAGTTGTACATTCCACTGACTGGAGCCAGCCAAGCACCGCTGTTTCTTCCACCTTAAAAAAAAAAAAAAAAAAAAAAAAAAAAAGCCTCCCTTAACTCCATATCCTTCTCTAGTTACTACCCCACGTCTATGCTCCTGCTCCTGCGTATAGGAAAATTCCATTATCACTGTCCCTAGTTCCTTCTCATTCTCTACTGGATTCACTCCATTAGGGCTCTGGTCTCCTATTCTTAAGATCACCAATGACCTCCCTGCTGCTAAAGCCAATAGAAAAGTCTCAGCCCTCACTTCCATCTTTGATCAGTAGTATTTGACCCAGTTGATCATTCCTTCCTTCTTGAAATCCTTTCTCTCCTGACTCCCCCAGGACACCACTCGATCTTGATTTTCCTCCTAATCTCTCTGGCCACTGTTCTGGATTTCTTATGCTGGTTTCTTCTCACCTCAGAATACTGAACTGCCCCAGGGCTCAGTTCTTGGAACTCTTCCCATTAGGTAATCTCACCCACTCTCATGGCTATAAAAGGATCCGTACACTGGTGACTCCCAAACTTTTATCTCCAGCTCAGACCTTTCCCCTGAATTCCAAACTCATATAGCCAACTGCCCATTCAACAGTTGTCAAATAGGTTTGATTACTCTTGATCACCTATCCCCCAACTTCCTCCTCAGAGTAATCCCTACCTCAGTAAGTGGCAACTTTATCCCTTTGGACCAAAACCTTAAAGTCATGGCTCTTTTCCTCTTTTTTCCACACCTTATATCCAATCTAAT